ATATATATACACACACAAACACATATACATATAATATATATATGTATACATTTACATGCACATATAAATGTACATGTACATGTAATCATAAATTTACATATACCAGTATACACGCACATACATAGACAAATACGTATATATTTACATGCACATATAAATGTACATGTACATGTACTCACAAATGTACATATACCAGTATACACGCACATACATAGACAAATACGTATACATTTACATGCACATATAAATGTACATGTACATATACTCATAAATGTACATGTACACGCACGCACATACATAGACAAATACGTATATATTTACATGCACATATACATGTACATGTACATGTACTCATAAATTTACATATACACGCACATACATATGCAATATATATCTTTGACCCTCAGATGTTTGAGATGCGGCTGGAGTCGTACGAGGAGACGCTGGATGAGGCGCGGACCGCCGGACGCCGGTCAGCGACGAGTCCGAAGCGTCGTCGCCGCGTGCAGCCGGGCTACGAGACGGTCAGCGCCGACCTTGACGAGGTCAACCGACGCTACCTTGAGCTCGCCGCCGTCGTCATAGAACAAGTGAACAGTCTGACGAGAATTCTTAGCACGACCACGACGATACATGTACGTAGAGAAGTGCACGGAATGTGTCACCTTAAGGAGGGAGGGTTAATTATGTTGATGTAATATAATAATTAAATTATGTAATTTTATAATGTTTTAATTATTTTAATTTAAACCAGTAAACGTTCAACATTTTTCAAAATTAATTTTAAAATAAAATATTATATTTATTATAAATTATTATATTTGTATATGTATATATAATATAAATATGTAATATAATAAAAATATTATATTTATATATATATAATTGTTTTAATTATACAATTGTTTAAATTTATTATGTTTTTTAATTATATAATGTAGTAAGTATTTGATTATCCCTCTATTCTGTCGGACAATTCTTTTGTTAATTAAGTAATAATGTAAATCTGTAATATATTGTTTTGGTAATGTAGGCTATGATGTAGGCTATAATTAGGTAATCTGTAATAATTTCTTAATAAGGTAATTTACCAGTGTACTGTATGTCAATTGTCATGCAGTTGCAGCAGCTTCCACCGATAAAGCTGGAAACCTACCAAGCAGGCGTGCAGATCGAGCCAACAGATGTGTCCACAGATACCCTCATGCACATCACTACAGGTAAACCTTACACCTGTCATTGCTACCTGTCATCACTACAGGTAAATGTTACACCTGTCATTGCTACCTGTCATCATTACAGGTAAATGTTACACCTGTCATTGCTACCTGTCATCATTACAGGTAAATGTTACACTTGTACATGCTACCTGTCATCACTACAGGTAAATGTTACACCTGTACATGCTACCTGTCATTCCTACAGATAACATATTAAACATGTCAGAATATCGATATGGATGCATGATACTAATTCATCTATCCTCACATATTATACATGTAAACTTCACTCTTGACTGTTGACTAAAGGTGTGAATGAAGAATATGAATTTAGTAGAAATTACTTGGTAATTCCA